TACCTTCAAGCCTTTCAGACCCCAGATGCTATATCTTTTGATAGCTGGGCACCATCAGCTTTCTTCACCACATTTGCTTATGCACCCATTTTTCTTCAGCGATCGTATCATGGAGGTGAGCAAACAATGATATGATTTTTTGTTCTTTGATGCCTGATAACTGATCCCTTTGAAGTTCAGTTCTTATCCTTCAATGGTGTCTTTATTGAAAATCAGCTGTTTGTTCGTTGTTTGTCTCTTTCTGGATTTTCCCTTCTGTCCCACCGACACTGTTCCACTTTCACACGGCCCTTTCTTGGTTCCTACAGTTTCTAATAAGTCTTAAAATTAGGCAGTACTAGACCTCCACCTCCGTTCCCCCACCCCTTTTAAGTTGTGTGGATTCTTTGAGGTCCTTTGTATTTTCATATTACTCTAAAATCACTTTGTTGATCTATAAAAACATATGCTGTCATCTCAGTAAGATTGTCCTGGGCCTACAGAAAATTTAGGGTGAGCTGACATCTTAACAAGTCTAAGGCTTCTGATCCATGGGCATGCCGTGCTAGTCCATCGAGTTTGGGCATCTTTGATTTCTCTCTGTAATGTTGTAGAGCTTTCAGGGTACAAGTTTTCACATTTCATCAAGTTTTGTATTTTCAAGAGACTGCAGATGTCACTGTTTTGGTTACTTGTTCCCGTATGTAACAATATGATTGCTATGCATGTACTGCTCTTGTCTCCTGCAGCCTTACTGCGCTCATGCGTCAATCTCTCTCATGTGTTTGGCGGGTCCCAGGAGGCTGCACAGAGGATCACACCGTCTGGGAGCAAAGGCGAGTGTATTCCTTCCTTCCGAATCCGGATGCTTGTCATTTTCCCCGCTTGCTTGCAGGCCGAGGCTAGGACCCTCCCCCGCCCCCGCCCCCGCCCCGGCCAGGACAATGACAGCCGGCAGCAGTGCCAAGTGTGCCTTACCCCCAATCTGAGGGGAAAGGTTCAGTTGGCCACCACTTGGTTTGACGCTGGCTCTCATTTTCCCTTAAATGTCCTTTACCAGCTCGAAGGAGTCCTGCTCTATGACTAGCTCCCTAGAGTTTGATTTTTAAAAATTGGGAATGTCAAGTGCTATTTCCACATCTACTGAGATGCTATTTTTATATCTTAGGTTCCCCCCTCCAAAAATATAGTTAACTAAATTGTTAGATATTACTGTGACAGACTCAATTTGGTTATCATAATACATATTATCCTTTTTATATGTTGTTGGATCTAACTTGTTAAATTTTTATTTAGAATTTCACCACACCTACCTACAAACGATACCACTTCCTTCGGACTCTCTACTTCATTCTCCACATTGTAGCGTAAAGCCCCCATGCGAATGAGTCCATCGCCCACCCCGCACCCTGACTCCAGTTCCGAGCTAACTTCAATGGTGGGTTGCTCTCCCCTCAGTGGGGAGGTGGGGGAGATGATTGACGGGGATGCGTAACGGGTTTCCATACGCTGCGTGTTGCCTTCTCAGGCTGAGCCTTTTCGTGCCCCTGTAACTATTCCTGAGCATGGCCTGCAAAGGCGCTCTTCCTTCTGAGAATGCTTCGTAGGTCTGGAGCAGCGCTCGCCTACGGCCAACTGTTCTCCTGACTGCAGTGCACCTCTCAGGCTAGGGCGCTGCAGGGAGCATGAGGCTGTCCAGAGTGGCCGGTGGGACAGGGCCATGCCCAGGTCTGAGTGGATGCCGGGCGCTGCTGCTCATGGTCTGTGTGGGAAGTTCCGTCTTCAGCTCAGGCACGTGCTGATCAGCACCAGGCTGAACGTTTCTGGCCCCTGGCGCTCTCTGGGGTTCCCTCGCTGGCAACACTATCCTGGTCTTGTGCTTGGCCCGTGCGGCCTGTCCTGCATGGGCTCTTGGCACTGTTTGCCCAGGCTGGGAGTCATCAAGGGGCAGGGCCTCCCTCCCTGCAGCTGCAGTGCACGTGAGCACGTAGGGGCCCCTCTTCATCGGTGCCTAACATCTAGGGTCCAGCCGTCTGTTTCCTGCATTCTGTCCAGCTGGGTGGTTTTGGAGGTTGATGCAGCTCAGCCAGCAGAGGGAGGGAGCTGACAGGCTTGTTTATAAAGCGAGTTGCAGAAGCCTGCCCCTGCACCTTGAGGGCATGGTGAAAGGGGGGTGGAGAAAGGAAAGGGATGCACACTTGGTGGTGATGTGACACTGGGTTGACTCCGAGTCATGGGGGCCCCACAGGCTGAAGCAACACTTCTCCACAGGGCTCCTAGGCTGCAATCTTTAGGGAGCAGACACCCACCCACAGCCACACACACACACACACACACACACACACACACACTCACATCTTCCACCCTCAGGGCGCCAGATGGCTTCATGCCATCAGCCTTTTGCTTATCAACTGAGTGCTCAACCACTGTGCCACCAGGGGCCCGTTGATGAGGTCGTGGTGTGCACAGAGACATAATTAGGAAAGCTGGCTTCCACAAAGAAGAATGCGGTCTCAAGCCTGGAGGAAGGCTTAGGGCCAAGCCTCCTCCTGCACGTGACAGCCTGGCGGCTGGACGTGGGGAGCACTGGAGCACTTGCTGAGGAAGGTCAAGGGCTGCAGCCTTCCGTGTGGATCACCACTTGGTGTAAAGAAGACCCAACCCTCGCAACTGGACCCACAGGTGACACTGTGGTGAATGGAGGAAAGACCAGGTGTGAAGGAGTCTGTCTTGCTTGGATCCACAGTCAACGGTCATGGAATCGGCGGTCAGGACATCAAGCGACGCATTGCATTAGGTCACTCTGCTGCCGGGACCTCTTTAAAGTGTGGGAAGGCAAGGAGGTCACCTTGAGCCTGACCCATGCCGTGGTGTTCCCACACCTCGGGTCCATGTGAAGCTGCATGTGACTAGGGAAGACTGGGGAAGCAGTGCTGGCCAGGGAGAGGGAGGGTGCCGTGCGCTGCCGAAGGGACCAGTGCCCCTGTCTCAAAGAAGAGTGGCCAGGGCTCCTTAGCAGTGAGGCTGCGAGGCCGCGTCTCACGCGCTTTGGACATGTCCGGAGAGACCCTCCCCAGGAGGAGGACATCATGTTTGGAAAGCAAAGGGGCAGCGAAGAGGAGGAAGGCCCTGGACAAGATGGATGGACACAGGGGCTGCACCCACGGGCTCTCACTGAAGACAGGGCAGTGTGTCCATCTGCCGGACCTCGGACCACTGTGAGTAGGAACTGATTTGGCGGCACCTGCCAACAACAGTGAGGTTGGAGACACCTGACGGGAGGGGCAGGGCGGTGGTGCAAACAGACTTACGTCCTGAAGGGACAGCAGCTCCTGAACACTGTGAAGTCGCTCTTCGGCCTCCGCCACAGCGCTCTGGGTCAGGTCGTATACTTCCAGGTAATTTGCAGTTTTCTGTTCATCATCTTCCTCTGCCTGGGCACGTAACCTTTCAACATAAGAGAGGGGTGTAGGGCAGAAGGTCCAAGCACGATGTCCCTGTTGTTGGCCCCATTGATTCCGCCTCACGGCGACCCTATAGGACAGTCGGACTGTCCGTGGGATTTCTGGGGTCATGATCCTGATGAACGTTCTCCTGCCGCGAGGCTGCCAGGTTCTAACCTCTGACCTCTTGGGGCACCTCACTGCTGCACCAGCGGGCTCGTCAGAGCACCGTCCCCAGTAAATGTACTGGGACAGTGACCACACGATGATGCTACTGATTTTATTAGGGTCTGATTGAAAAGATGACAAGGTTTAAAAGCTGGAATAACACAGGTCACAAGGGTGACACTAGTCTTGTGTGAGCACCAAGCCTGTGCACCAGGGGACTGCGCTCCCCATCTACCCGTTTCCCCATGAGGCAGGTGCTTGTTGATACAGAAAAGGACAGACTGGAACTCCTGCAGGTGGCCGCTGCCTCTCCTGCCATGGACTCCTCCCCTCCCCCCACTGCTGAGCTTGGCATGCTGGTGCCAGTCTAAGGGGGTGGACCGAGGACAAGAGGGGTGCCCCTCAGGAAGTGGGCCCAGGAGTGGAGGGGCTCCCGGCAGGGTTTGCTTGCCCTGCTCTGGGGCTAAGGGGGCAGGGGAGCCCCACAGTAGCCCCGGGGCCGGGCTCCCTGTGCTGGACATAGGCCCAGAGGTCAGAGCAGCTCTTCCCCTGCAGGAGCCTCCATGTTATTCTCCGGTGGGGGGAGGTCTGAGGACCCAGCGGGGAGGTGGCTAGTGCGTGGGGGCCACGTCCTGAGACCAGAGCTGAGCGTGAGATGTGTGTGTGTGTGTGTGTGTGTGTGTGTGCGTGGGGTGCTATGTGCTGAGATGGGGTGCACCGTGGCTCTGTGTATGAAGATGGTGCTGGAACCATGACACCCGGACACTGAGGTGGTAGGGGTGCGGGAGCCCCTGAGCAGCAGCAGAGCCCAGCGTGTCCGGGGAGGGTTGCACTGGGTGGTCCTGCTGGGCTGGGCAGCCCGGGAGAAGGCGGGCCTGTGGTTCTGAGCAGGCAGGTGTGGACTGCAGCAGCGGCGTGTCTCACCTCTTGATCTTGGCGCGCTCCAGTTTCACATCCACACAGTGTTCTCTGCGGCCACAGCCAATGAACTTCTTTTCAATGTCCACCAAGCTGTGGTCCATCTTGTCCAGCAGCTCCAAGAACACCGAGGGGCTGCTCGAGAAGGACTCCTGGACCACCTGGAGCTGCAGGCTGATGCACCTGCAGGGAGAGGCCGGTCAGCCCGGCCCCCGGCCCCTGGGCAAGTGTCCATTGGGTGCAGTGACAGCCAACACCCTTCCTTTCAACCAGCAGCACTCCTGTGGCCTCTGGGCAGAGGAGTTGGCACTAAGCAGTGCCCACCGCTCTAGATGGCAGGCGAAACCCCAGCTCCCTGGGTGGGGCACAGCCAGCTGGGGTCACTGGGCTAGAACACTGGAGAGGAAGCAGGACAGGGCGCATGCTCCTTCCCATGAGCATGGGCAGCATCCATGGAGGGAGGAGCCAAAGAGAAAGACAAACTAAACCAAGAAGCCTCATCTGCTTCGATCAATAAATGGACACCTGGTTCCGAGCAGACCAGTTAGATCTGAGAAGAGAGGGCACCCATCAACTATGGTCAGGGGTTAATGCAATTGAGGAGGGTCAGAGTGCAGGCCCAAAGTCCATCTGCAGACAACTGGACATCCCCCCACAGAAGGGTCACAAGGAAGGGACGAGCAAGCCAGGGTGTAGTCGAGCACCGATGAAACACACAACATTCCTAGTCTAGCTCTTTAATGCTCCCCCCTCCCCCACTATCATGATCCCAGCTGTGCCTTACAACTCTGCTAGACCGGAGCAGGCACACTGGCACACATAAGAGCTCTTGACACATGGAATCAGGACAGATGAAGCCCTCGGGAACAGTAATGGGAGTAGCAATACCATGTGGGTAGGGGGAATGTGGGGAGAGGAAGGGGAGAAAGGGGGAACCGATCTCAATGATTGATGTATAACACACACCCCCACCAAGGGGGACGAACAGCTGAAATGTGGGTGAAGGGAGACTGTGGACGGTATAAGATATGAAAATAATAATAATTTATAAATTATCAAGGGGTCACCAGCGTGGGAGGGTGGGGAAGGGAGGGGAAAAAAGAGGAGCTGATACCAAGGGCTCAAGTAGGAAGCAAATGTTTAGAAAATGATGATGGGAACATATGTACAAATGTGCTAGATATAATTGATGTCTTGATTGTTATAAGAGCCGTAAGAGCCCCCAGTAAAATGAAATAAAAAACCAAAAACCTACAGTTGGGGGGACATGGCAGGGAAAGGGCCTGTCCAACGCCGTGAGAGAAGATATCGTGGACCAACAGACGGTGCATCCTGAACCCACAAACAAGTCCCCGGAAAGGAGCCGCAGGCAGCGGGCAAGACACTGGGGCCTGTCCAGGCACCGTCGTCAGGGGCGAGGCCAGGAAACAGGGAGTGCTGCCCGACCCTGCCCCAGACATGCATGTCCCCAAAATCCAACCATGCCCCGACCCCACAGGCTCGGAGGCAAATGGGTGGGAGGGAGGGGGAGCATAAGGGGTAACAGTGTCGGAGGCAGAGAGAGAAGGATGGGGGTCCTGATGGACTCTCCATATCTGACCATTTGGGCAGCACCACGCCACCTGCAGTGGGAGGACATCACATACCCCAGGGCCCAGCACAGGCCCCGCAAGCGGCCACTATCTGTCCCTGCAAGGGGACTGGTGATGTCCCGCGTGGGGCTGACAACTCAGAAGCATTCTCGGGCATTAGGGAGCGAGTGGTGTTCAGCCTCTGGACACCCCGGGAGGAGGCCTCACCATCTGCCACTCGCTGCCCACAGCAGAGCCAAGCGGTGACAAGGTGCCGAGGACCATTGGAGTTTCTCAGGCAGGGTCATTGGGCCCCTGCTGTCTGAGTCTGGGAACCCCCACAGTTGAAATGGGGCCTGAGACGCCTGTGGACAAAGCCCCGCTTCATACCCATGTCCTCCCGCCAGCTACCTGGCCTCGAGGTCGGTGATGAAGAAGTCCAGCAGGGGGGCCCTATTGGGCCGTTCCTTCTTGAGGGCCGAGAAAGTGCTGGCGAGTGTCTGGAACAGGTGGCACACCTGTGGGGAGCTGGTTGTCAACACGGGGACGCGCCCCAGGCTGCTTTCAGCCTGCGGTGACAGATGGCCCACCTCCCAGGCTGCTCCTCACCACCAAGTGTCTGTCCTGGTTTTCTGAGGACAGGGTCGTCTCGGCCAGTGTCAGGGTGGATTGGTACCAGAAGTCCTCGTTGCCACCCAGCTGCTGGGCCCGCTCAGTCAGCCGCTCGGCCTGCTTGTGGTTCATCTCCCGGTTGGCCAGCTCGGCCAGGAGCTGCAGGCATCTTGATTCCGCACAGGGCTCTTCGAGCTCCTACGAAAGGTCCAGAGAGAGGGGCTCCCGCCACGTGCGTGCACACAGAGATGCCCACCCGCAGCACGTGCACACACACACACACACACACACACACACTCCTACCACACGTGTGCACATATACGTCTGCACACCCACAACACGTGCATACACACACACCTTCACAACACACAAAACACCAATGTACATGCACAGAGCACAGCACATACATATGTATACAGTCACAATACACATGTATACATGCACTCACATACACGCATACAAGCATGCCCATACACAAGTACACACACATAACCATGTACAGACAGCTATGCATTCACACACATATACACACGTGTGCACATACATAGACACATGTACACACGCATCTCTGCACATGCAGGCAGACATGAAACACACACATCAGCTCGCGCACACGCGGTTGATAACAGGAGTTCTCGGACGAGCACAGTGGCAGCGGCCCAGGACTCCTCATCCACCCAGAGCAAACCCGGCTGCCTGGTGCTGCCTGCGCCCTTGGGGGGCTGCGACAGTGACATTTGGAGAAGTCCTGGGTGCTGTGGTGCAGACCCCTCCAGGCTGCCCCAGAGTGCCCCCAGTGGGCAGCCCTGCCACTGCAGGGCCCGGGGGCCTCCCCACCTGGAAGGCCAGGCGCGCCTCAGAGAGCAGCAGCCGTGCGGGCTGGTACAGGTCCATCTCCAAAAGCACTTCGGCCTTGAGGGTCCACAGGAGGGGGAAGGACGCCCCGTCCAGGCCCTTCCCAGCCTCCTCGCTCACCTTCAGAATCTGAAAGCCACACAGACAGCAGAAGCTGATCTGCACTCAAGCCTCCTGCCACACTGTGCCCCAGGGCCCGCTCCGTCCTCACCCGCTGCCACCCACCCAACAAGCCCGTCCTCAGCTTTGTCCCGGGGGCTCTGGGGCCCTTGCACTGGACGCGGAGCTGACTCAGGCCACAGCCAGCCATCGGCTCCCACCCGGGGGCTCCTTTCCAACTGACAAAGCATGGTCCGGCTCCGGTGGTCTCCAGTGTACAGGTGAGCCTGTGGAGACCACGGGCCGCTCTCCGACAGGTGGGGCTCCGCTGGGCTGTGCTCCTGCCCTTCCATTCTGGACACACACTGTCCAGGTCCTGCTGCCACCCCACAGGGGAGGGCACACTGCTCTCATCCTCCTGGGAAGCAGGGGGCTTATCCACACTTCTCAGGTATCTCCTCCACCCAAGCTTGTGGGCGCACTACCCCAGGACAGACGGCCGCTCCCTCGCCTTGTCTTGGGCTGCCATGGCCCTGTGCTCGCGGAGCAGCTCCAGGGAGTTGGGCGCCGTCAGCAGGTGTAGACTCTCTTCCAACAGGGGCTCCTTGCTCTTCTCCTTCTTCAAAGCAATCTCTCTCCTGCAGCTAATTCAAGAAAAACAGACCATGGCCAGCCAGACATAACACTGAGAGCGTCACAAGAATAAAGGAACCAAGTACACTGTCGAGAGGCCAGTGTCCAGGGAGTGTGGACCAAGAGAACAAGTACCCCGTTCTACGGACTTGTCTTGCCAGGAGAACTTTAGGCTGTGCCCTTTGTGGGACCAAGAGGCCAGGCGACACCGTGGAACCCAAGCTGTGTTTCGGGAGACGCACCTAGCCTGCTCCAGCTCTGTCACGTACACCTGCCCCACCACTTCCTCGTGAAGCAATGCGGCTTCTCTCAGCTGCAGGTCGGAGCACAGCTGAGCCAGTCTGTGGGGAAGAGCCGGCATGGAGGGAGGGAGGGTTCTGTGTAGGGGCCCCGAAAACCAAACCCACTGTGCCATCGAGCCGATGCGGACTCGTGGCCCCCCTTCAGGACACGATGGAACTGCCCAGTGGGTCTCCAGGGCTGTAACTCTCTGAGCCGTCTTTCTCTGCCGAGCCGCTTCGAACTGCTGACCTTGTGGTGACCGGCCCAGTGCATAACCACTTTGCCATGCAGGCTACTTTCTCAATGCCAGAGACTTTATTATTTGCATATTTAGTCCACCACATGGTATGTTTTTATACTGCTCAGAGGACATTCTCCCTGCCTTCTGGTGTCCCCACAGCGGGCAGTGGCACCGACCTGAGGTGGTAGAGGTTGGCCAGGCTCGGGCTCTCCACCACGACGTGCGCGATGACTATGCCCAACTGGAGCACAGGGACCAGGAGCGCGTGCAGGGACATCGCCCTCAGGGCTCTGGCCAGGTGGTCCAGGTAATACAGAGTGCACGTCTACAAAAACACGCAGCGAACGCATGCACATGGTCAGAGGTGAGGCGGGCCTGTGACCTACTAGCTCGTAGGGTCTTTGTGCAAAGAACTTGCCCCTCCCTCACGGGGCCTACCCAGCATGGGGCCAGCACCCAGTGTGCCTGGGGGGCTCCACAGAGAGCGTATCCACCTCCCAGGGACGGTACAGGAGAGCTGCCGAGTGGAGGTCCAGCCCATGTGTGGATGGGACGCCGCCCGGGTCTCTGCTGGGGTGCTTGTTTTGGGGTTTCACTGGACCCTGGCAGCCGATTCTCATATACTCACAGAAACACGGCGGGGAATGCTGAGAACAGACCAGAGCTTCTAAACGAGCAACTACTGGGGTAGGGCTTCCCCCAGCCCACCCCCACCCCTCAGGATTAAAAAGCACCAGTAACGATGAGATGTTGGTGTCAGGACAGAGACGCAGACACCTGACCCGTGACGCCCAGGGCACTGCCGAGGAACGGAGGCAGGGTGGTCAGAGCTCCTCATCTGAAAGCGTGCAAAGCAACTGCAGGCAGATTGTGGCTCTAAGCCTGAGGGGCAAAACTATGGAGCTCTGGGGGAAATAACATGAGAAAGTGTGTCAGGGAAGAAACTCCTTTCAGCACAACACACAAGGAAGCCCACCACAGGGCAAAGGTCCATGACTTGGACTACATTAAAATGAAGAGTCGCTACTCATGGGACACGATCCCTGAGAGGGCAGGTGCCAAGCGGAGGCAGGTGATCTGCTGTGCAGAGACTTGTGGGAGGGTCTTGCCAGCAAATGTGAAGAATTCATTCTTCTCGATGGAAAAGACAGAAGGCTACGACCACACGGGTAAGGGGGTTGGGCGGGTACAACGCAGACGAGAACGTCCAAGGGGCAAGCAGTGAGCATCTGCAAAGGTGCCCCACCTCACAGTCATCAGACAAGGGTTCCCCTGGGCTCCACCGCCGGCGGGATGCACCTGGCTGAATAATGACCCTACTCTCCACAACCTGAGCGGGAAGAAGAGACCAGCCCGGCAGGGTGGTTGCTCTGAGCTTCGCAGGACGGGGCGATGGCCCCGGATTCCCGTTGGGCCCTCGAGCCAACCACGAATGCCCTCATCAGAGGGAGGAAGAGGGGATGCGATCGGAAGAAGGCAGTTGAGGCCACAGTGAGAGCAGGCACTCCCGAACCCCGTGTCCAGAGCCCTGGGAGAGCGTGGGACTTGGCCTCAGACATGTGCCCTCCAGGGCATCTGGCCAGGGGTATGCGTGCTGCATAAGCCACTGCCGTGTGGTGATGTGGTGGTGATGGGGCCACAGGAAGGGGAAGCGCAGGACCAGGTGTCAGGCTTGGGCCCCCCTGAGACATGACAGTGTGTTCCTCAGGGGCTGGCTGAGGAAGGAGAGTGGTTGTGGGAGGGTGGGGGCCTGTGAGTCTGCTGGAGCTCAGGGCCTGGCCTGGGTGGAGATGGGGGTGCTCCCTCTGAGGTGACGCAGGCACCCCTGGGATGCCTTTCATGTGGTTGAGTTGGGGCACCGCCGCCACACTGACTGTGTCACCACGGGCCACTCACGGGCTTCTGGATGGTCGATGGGTTGACAGTGAAGTGGCCCGTGTCCTGTTTAAATATCGAGATGACCTCTTCAGGACAGGAATAGGACGCCCACTCCCCTATGCTGGCAGGCAAGTCCTCTGGTCTTCGGATGGGGACAGGGGTTTGAGGCTGTGAAGGCAAGAGCAGAACTGACCTTAACAAGTGGAGAGAGCGTGTTTGTCTACTGGTCAGCCCCTGGCCCAGGCCAGGTGAGTGGCATGCGCCTCAGGGAGCCGCACTCTTGGGGCGCTGTGGGGTTGCAACCCCAGAGCTCCGGCCCCATCATGGTCGCCCACCCTGGCCTGGGGAAGCCCCTCTGGGTTTTGCTTTCACTGCCTGGAGGCCTGATGCCCCTCTTCACACACGATGCCCAGCATCCAGTCTGCCGGAGCCCTGCTGGCACGCAGCTGCTTTGCAAGCCAGGCTCATGGCCCCGATCCCCCACATGTTGCTCCGTGCAGATGGGGAGGTGGGTGAGCAGGACTTCCCGGGAGAGCCCTGGGTGCTGGCCTGAGCACCGTGTGGGCTCTGAGCTCCGTGAGCCGAGACAGCAAGCCCAGCAGCTCTGATCACCCAGCGGAGCTTCCCGTGGGTCCACCTCCCACCCAGAGATGGCCTTACCTGGGCAGTCCCTGCTCCAGGGGCCACGCTATTGGACATGAGAGGACCTGTGTCAGCGGTAGCCTCCGCCCCACCCCATCCTGCTGCTGGTGACAAGGGCCCAACAGCATACACACATACACGCATGCTCACACGCACACTCACACGCACCCACGCACATGCTCACACACTCACCCGCCCCTGCGGTACCTGCTTAGACTCCTTGTTCTTCTCCTTCTCCTTGCCTTTCTCCTCCTTCTCCTTGCCTTTCTTCTCCTCCTCCTTCTTCTCTTTGCCTTTCTTCTCCTTCTCCTTCTCCTCCTTCTCCTCCTTCTCCTTGCCTTTCTCCTTCTTCTCCTTTGTCAGTAACAAAGGGGATCCACTTGTGGCCTGAGCTTTATTTTCTGGACTCAAGTTGCCTGCTGTGGACAGAGAAACCTGGAAGGCAGAAAGAGGCAGGCACAGTCCAGCGCCCTATGGCCATGGTCAGTTGGAGGTTCTGGGGCCACAGGGCATCTGCGACTCTGTCACGCTCATGGCCACATATCATGCGTCCATCTGTACAGCTGTCTGAGGCAGTAACACCCAGCTCATGGTGGGGGAAGAGTTTCAGGGAACAGTCAGCTTAGAGTGGGCCACAGACATTCAAGAGGGCCCCCTGCAAGAGGGGTCAAGAGCCGGAGGGGCTAGGGGTTGGCCGGGGGTCAAGAGCTGGAGGGGCTAGGGGCTGGTGATGGGTCGTGGAGGGGCTAGGAGTTGGTCGGGGATCAAGAGCCGGAGGGGCTAGGGGCTGGTGAGGGCTCAAGGGTGGGTCCTGCAGTCTGTTTCATTGGTGCTGGAGGGAGGGGCAGGCAGAAGACAACATTCATATCAGGAGAGGGACATGTGTCCCACCCTGCAGGCCTCCAGGGGTCTGGATGCGCTTGGCTCTCTGTATGGGGTAGCTGGGCTCTCAAGGAGGCTCTACCAGGGCCATTCTGGCTGGACTCCTGGAGGAGGTCCTCCCCACAGAACGAGGCTGGCCTCACCTGCCAGATGCACCTGGCAAAGGTGTAGGCTGTCAGGCAGCAGTCCTGGTAGTGTGACGAGCTTGGCGACAGCACCAGGGCCAGCAGGACGTGGGCCTGGACCAGGGCGTCCAGCTGCCGGACATCCCGGATTCTCTCCCAGGGTGTCAGCCCTGCTGCCTCCTTCTTGGGGTCAGGAGCAGCACTGGGCGCCTCCGGTGCCCGCTCAAGAGGAGAGGGTGTTTCTGGAAACAGGGGGCACAGTCATTAACCGGACCTCTGGGAGCCCCCCCTCCACCTCTCCCAGAGCTGCTGGGGGTGTGAGGACCCCCACACCTTCTGGCTCAGGGGCGCTGAGGGGGGGCTGCATGTTCAGCAGGATCTCGATGGCCCACTTGAGGTGGAAGATCACATCCTCCCGTGGGCACTGCTTGCAGTACAGCCACTGGCCCAGCTCCAGGATGTAGTCCACCTTCTGCCACTCGCTCTCAGGTTTCTGCAGAGCAAGGAGGGGCGTGAGGCCCAGCAGCTCCTCAATGCGATGCCGTCACTGCCTGAGAAGCCTGGGTGGCGGTTCTCACCAGCTCGTCCTGCCCCTCACCTCTGCCAGTTGCCCCTGTGCTCCCTCCTGCTTCCTCCCCGATGAGACCCCCAGCTAGGCCCCCAGCAGACCCCAAGCCAGGCCTCCAGGAGACCCCCAGTAGATCGTCAGGCCCAACAGACCCCCAGCCAGGCCCCCAGTAGATCGTCAGGCCCAACAGACCCCCAGCCAGGCCCCCAGTAGATCGCCAGGCCCGACAGACCCCCAGCCAGGCCCCCAGTAGATCAGCTGGCCCAACAGACCCCCAGTAGACCGTCAGGCCCCCCGCGGGTCCCCCAGAAAGTCCTTTCCTTTTTCCATCCAGATTCTATCCCACTCACACCAGAGCAGGGGTGGGGTCATTTGCAAACTGCCCTCACCTCTGTCTGCAGGCTCAGCCCAGCCTCCTGCGCAGGACTTTCTTCTGGCGGGACCTGGATGCGCCTAACACGCAGAGCAAGTCCGGGTGTGCCTGTGCTATGGTGCGCAGGCACCGGCACAGGAGGCCCACGGGAAGTCCCCAAAGCCCCAGGCAAGGGCCCCTTGGCACTGTCCATGCCGGCCCCATGGGAAACCAGGGTTGGGCGATAGAGCTGGGTGGGGGGCCAGGGGGTGCCACTGGCATGGGGGGCTGGGGAGAACAACAGGGGAGAGACCAGTGGGGGAGACCAGGGAGAAGGCAGCATCCAGAGTGACTGAGAACCCACTGACCACCGACTACCAACAAGGCAATAACAGGACGACAATGGGGACAGTTGGGACCGGTGCTTCTCCGTCTGAGAGGACATCACCATGAGATGCCATCAGACACCACCACCATGGGGATGTGGTGGTGTTGGGGGGTTCTAACCACAAAGAGGAAGAACCAGTGCCGGGGGCTGCAGAGGCCGGGTTTCCATGCACTGTGGGTGGGGCCACCTTGGATCCAGGCTGCAGCTGCCCAGAAGGAGAGCTGCGCTCTGAGCCAGCACCCCAAGTGGTGAGTGCACTCGGGGACCCTCACAGCACGTCCCTGACAGCAGCCCTGTCCTGAAAACAACCACTGACAAGAGGGGCGCACAGCCCCTCCGGCTGGAGGACCCTGGCAAGCATTGTGGCAAATGCAAGCGATGTGAAACAGATTGAGCCACTGGCCTGAAGCACCACAGCAGGGCAGGGCCGCAGACCTGGACGGTGGGCTACTGGGGTGGGATGTGGGGAGGGGGGGGGGCTGGCTGGCTGGCAAGCAGGCCTGGTCTCTAGGTTTTAAAATGTGTATGGTGACAGGCACACAACTCCATGAGCTCACAAAAAACTCCAGGGACAGACAGGTGGGCAGGACTGGGCCCTGCATGCAGGGAGCCCCGGCGGCGCTATCCCTGTCGCAGGCTCTGGACCAGATGGGCTGACCTCCCTCCACACTCAGAAGCTGGCCTCGCGGTTCTCTCTGGGCAATGCCTGACCTCACCTGGGCAGGGGCTCAGCACTGGTTACAGGGGCTGGTGCAGGGACCCCCAGGCCATGGCGGCTCAAGTGGGGAGTGGTGACTCACCACCCCTAGGCCTACTGAGAGTCACTGAGACCCTCCAGGCCCCACTGAGCCGCTGTCCAGGTTCTGGGCACATGCGGTAGCCAGGTCTCCACCGTGACTACCCAGCAGGATGGCCCCATGACCAATTAACTCTGCTCCCCCACAGGGACATCCCAGTGCACGGACCCCATTAGGGCTTCTAAGACTGTACACATCTTCCTCCCACAGAGCAGCTGGTGAGTTTGAACCACTGACCTTGTGCTTAGCAGCACAATGCAGCCCCTGCCCCCCTCACTTCCTCGAGGTCCGGGATGCCTACCTGCAGGGCCTGGATGGCGTTGTGGTAGCAGATGAGCTCCCCGGAGGTGTCCCTGGAGTTCAGGGCCAGGCGGTGCCACATGCGTGCCAAGTAATCCTCACTCTCGTCTTTGAACTTCTGCATCTCCATCGTGAAGCTCTGGCCAAGCTTGGCTTTCACAATCACCATGCGTTTGAAGATCAAGCTAAGGGACAGAGGGACACCTCCGGCCTCAGATCGGTGCCAGACGGGACATGCCACCAGCCAGAAATCCAGGCTTGGCCAGACCAAGCTGTGCCCATGCCTGTGATTCTGCTCGGAACTTGCTAGGGACACGGCTGCGGTGGCAGAGCCGCACCCGTGTGTCAGGATGTGCAGTGTTAAAGACCTTCACACCTGGAGCAGCCTCTGCCGGCTGTGGAGACGGGCCTGTATGCATTCTGCTCCCTTGTGCCCCAGAGAGCCTGGCCCGCAGCATCTGGTGGGCTTCATGCGAGTGCCCGCCAGTGGGAAGCTGCTCCCCGTCCCGTGTCTTTGGCCTGCACAGCGAGGACTCGGAGCTGACTCACACTTCTGTTTCTCCAAGTGTGGCCGCGGAAGCAGCATCAGAACCAGGGGGCTGTTTGCTGAGGTTGAGCCTCCCCAGGGGCCTCTGCTCCCGCCACTTGAGAAGGGCTGGCCCAGCCTGCATCATGACAGCGCATGTGAGCGTGTGTGAGAGGATGGTGTCGTGGTCACACGCTGAACTGTGGTCCCGAAGGTCAGCAGGGCTGTCTACCCCCGTGAGGAATGAGTCTCGGACCTTCTGCGGGTCGCTGTGAGTTGGCCTCCACTGGCTGCTAGGAGTTTGGTTTGGTTTGTTGGAGCACCTGTATTGTGTGTGTGTGTGGCGGGGGGGGGGGTGTCTGTGAGTGTGAGCATGTTTATGTCTGTATGTGCCATTGTGAAGAGGTGTGTGTGTGTGTGCATGAGTGTGTGGGCACAAGTGATTGCCAGGGTGCGTGTCTGTGTGAGTGTGGCTATGTATGTGTATGTGTGTGGAGGGAGTGTATGAGGGTGTGTGTGGATGAGTGGATGAGCACATGTGCTTGTGAGAGTGGTTTTGAGTGTATATGAGCGTATGTGAACATGTGATTATGAGTGTATATCTTTGCATGTGCGTGAGCACGTGATTGTGATTGTGTGTATGTGAGCACGTGTGATTGTGAGTTTGTGAGCACGTGTGTGTGTGTGTGTGTGTGCACGTGTGTGCGTCTGGGAGACCAGCTACAGCAGAGAAAGGAGCGAGAGGCTGAGAAGGGGCTTGCTTCTGCTTGGGGGAGAGATGTGGAGAGGCATTCCCAGAGGGGCACTGGGGGAGGGGGCACCCAGGGAGGAGCACAGAAAGAGGGGCAACTGGAGGCGGTTGGGAAAGGAGCCCCTAGGGAAGGTGTTGCTGGGGGAGGGGTCCGGGGTGCTCACAGGCGGTGGGGGGTCCGAGGCAACACTTGCACAGCCTCGTCCAGCACCTTGAGGCCCCCCTCCCAGTCACTGTGGTCGGCATGGCTGTGGAACAGCAGGCTGTAGAGCGCCACCCGCAGCGTGAGGTCGTCCTCAGCCCCTGGGGAGGGAAGGCCGGGTGTGAGCCCGCGTCCCTGCTTCGCCCTAGACAACAGTGCCCTCTGACCCTCCAGGGCCCGACCCGGTGGCAGGATGGATGACGGGGGCCCTGAGGACAAGGTCCCTTGCTGGGACCAACTGGGAGTGTGGAGCCCAGGTAGCAGGCCCTTCACTCGGCAGGGGGTCAGTTGGGGCCCTGACCCCTGAGGGAAACACTGTGGTGACCTGCACGTCACTCTGCCAGGCTCCTTGTACCTGACATGACTGAGGGCCAGGGGTGCTGTAGTCCCCTTGGGGTTCACAGGAGCTCCTAAAGCTTACGCTGCTGCAGGCGAACCAGGACACCAGCCAGCGAACAGACGGGCAGCTGCACTTGAGCACACATTGCAGCCAAAGGGGGACATGCACCCCCTTTCAGGCCAGGGCGCAGTCAGGACACGTGTGTGTTGCATTCACAACAGACGTACACAGAGAACTGCACCCACCACCTGCTGTCCGTTTGTCCTGTGTGGAAGATCTGGACAAAGTACCTGGGAGGCTGAACCATAGAACGTGGAAATTTAAACCCTCAAGCCTGGGGCTTATCCCGGGTGGTGGAGCAGAGTACAAACCCAGCCCCCACTCCCATCGCTGTGAGAGCTGAAGGGGTGTCTTCATTCCCACCTGGGTGGCAACAGCTCCCACGGCTCCAGCTCCCACTTTCCTACCAGCACACAATGCAACGGCTGGGGCTCAGTATGCAACCTTTAGTTCCCCCTGGGGTGTTAGGCTGGGCTCTCTAAAGAAGCAGAGCCAGCATCCTGTCTCCAGGTGGGAGGATCCCTTCCTTTGGAACTATGACCTCCAGACTCCAAAAGCATGGGGTCACAGGGACAGGAAGCAAAATGTTGAGAGTGAGTTGCCCAGAATAGTGCATGTCCTCCACCCTTGGGTTCCTGGACCCGTGGATGCTGGCTGTGGGAGAGACCCCACCACACACTGGATGCTGGCCGACAGCATAGACAGCCTCCTGGATGGAGAACGTTGCCCAAACTGGCAGTGTTGCCACCTAGGGGCACCAGGATTGTGTCTTCAGAAGGCCCTTCCATCGTCCTGTTAAGCCAGTTGCTTCAGGATGACGATGTTGCTAGGTGCTGTCACCACTCAGCGTGGGTTGGTTCTGACCCATAGTGGCCCAGGCACAGAAGAAATACTGCCCGGTCCTGTGCCACCCTCACAACTGTCCCTCTGCCTGAGCCACTGTTGCAGCCACGTGTCATTATTGACCAGGGAATTCCGTAAGCATAGGCCCACTGCGGTACTTCATTTTCTGTGAGGTAGGTCCCTGGATCTGAAGTGATGTGTGGGAAGCCATGCCACTTTTAAGTCTGTGGGTCAGACGTTCGGCTGGAGGCTTCTCCTGACATGCACAGCTCCAAGACTGGTGAAGGTCAGCTGATGACTGCAGAGGTAGATGAATCCAAGGTCAACGGTTAGCCTGATGATAGGAGAGGCTAATGAATCCGAGGCAGGCAGGTCCGATGGCAGATCAGACAGGCTGACAATGGCTCCCTCGACCGCCAGGCGAGCCGCTGGCTCAAGTCCAAGAACCAGAGGTCAAGGAGCCAGATGCAGGATTCAGATCCAGCCAAAAAAAAAAAGCCAATCCACAGCATCTGCTTGTACAGGAAACGGGCAAGGCCGCAAGGAACCCTTCCAGATCTTTAGAGCTGTGACCTGAGTCAGGGGTGCCCTCCACCCGATCTTCCAGCTGATGGGCCGTCCAAAGCAGACCCATCACGGAGCTGACGGCGTTTTGTTAGGCCACATGGAGGGGCATTGGGAGGCTTCACAGTTGCCACACCCCTGAGACTCCTGACCCAGCCAAGTTGGACACAAAAAGCTGTCACACCCAGGCATACAATTTGCTCAGTATTTTCAACCAGCTTCATCTCATGAAATGTGAACCAGCAGCGAGCACACTTCCTCCCCCAGCCTTTGTCAACTCCCTCAGTGCCCATGTCCTCTCGTCCATGATTAACTGGCACGCAAACCACGGCCACTGAGTTGGTTCTGACTCGTGAGGTCCTACGGGGAGCGCAGATCTTCTCCCTGGGGCTTTACGGTGCCATCTTTGTGGGAACTGCTGCCCGTCAGCGGCTGGTGGGCTTGGAGCACCAATCTCGCCGTCAACAGACATTATTAACAGGAGTCATTACCGCTCCCCTTGTGTCCCTTCCTTTTCCCATAAATGTCTCTCTAAATGGGGCTTGCTGCTCTAACTCGGGTGTTTCCCACTTTTTGTACAGCCAAGGGAACGAACACAGGTTCTCTGCTATGCTGGGCACTACCTCGGGTTCTGGTGGCAGGACAGGTCTGCCTGCACCCCTCGCCCTGGGCTGCATGCATATCACTCCCAGGGGGTTTAGAGGGACAGGGCCTGAGAACCACATGCCTGGAAGGAAGTTACCCTCGGTCATCCCGCTGCACTGGAAGTCTGACGTCGGCCACTGGTGCAGGAGCAGCGTCCCGTCTGTCTCCTGTGGAGAAGTCCCAGCAGACACGGCTGTGTCCCTCATCCTGCGGCTCACTACAGCTGGGGGGCTAGGTTTCTGGGAGTCTGGCCCCGGGAGCCCCCTCCCTCCTCTTGCTTGACCAGCAGCCAGCGTGCCCAAGAAGGGCTGAGGGGCTCCTGGGCGGAGGATTGCTGGCCGGGCCGGGCCGGGGCCCCACCTGCTTCGTGGCCTCGGTCTTGGTGATGAAGCTGAGGAGCCTGCGTACAGCTGTCTTCATCTTTTTGCGGTTCAGCGGTGAGGAGAGCAGTGGGAGGCAGGTGTTCCAGTAGTGCCTGGCGGCCAGCATGACCAGGGCGCTGCTCCCCGCAAGGCACCCGAACCTGGGGCAGCGGCTGCTCAGTGACCAGGCAGCGATGACTCTCCCTCCATGACTCCTGTGGCCCTATTGTCCCTGAGCCCCCATGTCCCTGGCACCAGCAGTGTTGTCCTGGAGGTGTGTCCCCGCCCAGAGATCCCTGGGCCTCACGCTGTCTGCTTGTCATGCACGAGTGGGAGGCAGCGTTCTGGCCAGTTCAAGGGAAAGGTACTCCCAAGCATCCGGGACAATCACATCTCACTGCTGGGCAGCTCAGGGCCAGGGAAGTGGGGGATACTAGTTCTGCTACTGGAAGCCCCTGCCCTCTGCTCCAGGACCACCCTCTGGCTGCTGACAGAGGCCTAGCCCCATGTCTCACCCCTCCAGCTGCCCCCACTTTGCTGCCCACTCCCCCATATTTCCACGCCAAGGTCTGTGTAGCGGACCAAGTTCTGCCCATGGTGGAGCTGGAGCCCCAGATGGTGCCTGGCTTAGCTGGAGTCCTCCCTCTTCCCAGGGCCCCCTCTGCACGGACATCCCCCACCCCCACCCCCACTCCCCGCCATCAGACACACCCCACGATCAGACATGCCCCAGCAGCGGACCTGGCGCTCTCCATGAATGCCTTCGCGGCCTTCAGACGCAGTTGCTTCTGCCCCTTCAAGTTCCCCATGATGCTCTGGCCCTGGATGCAGGCGGCAGTGCTCAACATCTCTGCCACGAAGCCAGCCTCAGGCCTGCGGGAGGGGATGGGGACCTCGGTGACCCAGCTGCGAGCCAGGCCCCTCTGACCCACGGCGGGCATGGCCGGGGCTGTCCGGGGGCTGTGCTGCCAGAAGAGCCGACCATCTGACAGAGCGCGACAGAAAAAGCAGTCGCCGCACTGTGGGCTGCGCAGCGGTTAAAGCGCTCGGCTGCGGACCCAAACAGGCCTGGCTGGAAGCAGCCTGCCTCTCTCGGGGTGCTCCGTGACGGTCGGAGCCTGGGAAGCTCGAGGTGGGTCTCCCCAGCCCCGGGGCTGCTGGGAGCCAGCGGGACCCCTTGATGACATGGACCAGGGTTTGGTTTGGGCAGCGTCGCCCCTGCTATCTGGCGTCTTGATGAGTTCCCTTAGGGCTGTGGAGTCAACAACCATTTGCACAAAAGTGAACGGGGACAGCAGTACGTAAAGTGCCTTTTCAAGCCTGACCTTGAGCTGGCCAGGGTGTCCGGCTTGACCAGCGGCGTCACAGTGAAACAGCCTCTCCTGCCCTGTCTCCTCCTCCCAGACCACTGATGCGCGGACCCGATGAAGCCCCGGGAAGGCACACAGGGTGCAGGGACACAGGCCGCCACCAGAGGACAGCAGTGGCCTGTGGACACGCTTTCCAAGGTCAGAAGAGTCAGACTGACCACAGGGGATTTTGAAGGTCCCTGGGGACCTAGTTGATTCGCCTGGGCACCCAGGGAACTGAGCTTGGCTGGGGCATATCATGACAGGAGTGGCTGTTTGGCAGAGGTAGGTCCTGGCAGGACTGGTGGGGTCTTCCAAACGCAGTTACAGCCAGACTCCAGCAGCTCTCTTTCTTTCTCTTTACCCCCCAGTAAATCTCTTTGCTCCTATTTTAGCTGAGCATACGGGTTAGACAAAGATTATCCATTTTCATGACATTTGTTGTCCAAAAGTTTGAGACCATTGTTTTCACTCCAGTCTCGCCAGCACTAGCTGTCAGGTAGGCTGTTATAAAATCCGTTTCCTTTTGTAAGACAAACATGCATGTACAAAGAAAAGCACATCTAGATGATTTGGAAATTAGAAATAATAAAGAAAAAAGAAAAGAAAAACATCTTGCTATTTAAGGTTAACTACTCCAATGCTTAATTTAAATGCTTGTAGATGTTCTTTTTGAAGTGCAAGTTACAGTGTTTCCAATTGCCTCATAAGCATACTGAAGCTGAACAGTCGCTAAGGAAGACAGACGAAGAGCTGATACATTTGATTTCTCCTGTTGGTAAAGAATGCTGGACACGCCTGGAACTGAGTCTGGGAAGGGGGGCCGGAGAGCTCCTTAAACACAGGGATGGCACGAGGTCCGCCCAGGTCCTTTGTGAATGTGACAGAGCGGGAGAGCCCCAAATAAAATAAACAGAAACTGTAAGCTGCCCTGCAACCTTCAGCTAATTCACACACTCAAAAATTGTTTTCTAAAAAAAAAAAGGAAAATGGTTGATGTTGTCCGTTAGAAGATTCCATACAAGAAAAATTTCCATCAAATCTTCCAAAAGGTTGAATTGAGTATGTGATATTTATTTTTATTATTATTTTATTGGGGGCTCATACAACTCTTATCACAATCCATACATACATCAATTGTGTAAAGCACATTTGTACATTTGTTGCCCTCATCATTCTCAAAACATTTGCTCTCCACTTAAGCCCTTGGCATCAGCTCCTCATTTTTCCCCCTCTCTCCCCGCCCCCCCCATGAACCCTTGATAATTTATAAATTATTATTTTGTCATATCTTACACTGTCCGATGTCTCCCATCACCTACTTTTCTGTTGTCCATCCCCCAGGAAGGAGGTTATATGTATATCCTTGTAATCAGTTCCCCCTTTCCACCCCACCCTCCCTATATCCTCCCAGTATCGCCACTGTCACCACTGGTCCTGAAGGGATCATCTGTCCTGGATTCCCTGTGCTTCCAGTTTCTACCTGTACCAGTGTACATCCTCTGGTCTAGCCAGATTTGTAAGCCTGATTGAGATCATGATAGTGGGGGGGGGCGAGCATAGAAGGATTTAGAAACTAGAGGAAAGTTGTATGTTTCATCATTGTTACACTGCACCCTGACTGGCTCATCTTCTCTCTGCGACCCTTCCCTAAGGGGATGTCCACTTGCCTACAGATGACCTTTGGGTCTCCATTCCGCACTCCCCCTCATTCATAATGATATGATTTTTTGTTCTTTGATGCCCGATACCTGATCCCTTCAACACCTCATGATCTCACAAGCTGGTGTGCTTCTTCCATGTGGGCTTTGTTGCTTCTCAGCTAGATGGCCGCTTGTTTACCTTCAAGTCTTTAAGATCCTAGACTAAGGTGACCATCTTTTAACATTGGTAAGTGGGACACCAGCGGGACACCATTGATAAAACTCATATCCTGGCGAAATTGTCACATGGCAGCCAAAAACCGTATACCCTAGCTTGTGCATTCTTTTAAAAATTGGGACTTTTTTAAAATGCTGCAGGACGCAAGACAAATTGTTAAAAATTGGGACTGTCCTGCCAAAAGCGGGGACGTCTGGTCACCTTATCCTAGACGCTGTATCTTTTGATAGCCAGGCTCCATCATCTTTCTTCACATTTGCTTATGCACCTGCTTTGTCTTCAGCTATCGTGTCGGGAAGGTGAGCATCATGGAATGCCAGTTTAATAGAACAAAGTGTTCTTGCATTGAGGGAGTGCTTGAGTGGAGGCCCAATGGATACTTATTATAGATAGCATATTGATGCCATTGTGTCATAAAAAGAGAAGGGTTTAAAAACAGGTAAAAACATTTACAAGTATTAAAATATTCAAGGGAGATTACATGATAGTCTCTATAAGAAAATCCTGAGTTGAAAATCAATATTAAAACACTCCAGCAGTTCCTTCTATGGAGACAGCTTTGTGGCTGTTTTCATCAAAAAGTAACATTTGTGTTTCTATCAAAGTAGCACCTATCTGTCCAGGCCTAACCCAAAGCGCTTGGATTCTGCCTCTATCTGCTGGTTTCTCTGTCCCGAGTGTGAGTTGTGGGCATCTTGCAGGGGGAGTGGGACTCGGTTTGCTCACTCAGTCCTTGGTTCCCTGCCCTCTCCCACATCCTAGCTCCTGTCTGCACTGCTGGGCCCTTCACGTACTTGGGAAATGTCTTCAGGTACTTAATGCCCATCTCTGGGGCTCTCTGTGAGCAGGCCATGGTGATCTCGTGGTCTCGGGCCATGTGCGCAAAGTAGGTCAGCCGTGTGAGGGCCTGCAGCTCCACCAGAGGGTCCGACCAGGTGCACTCGGAGGTCATTTTCACCAGCTTCCCGGGTCGAGGGGAGGACAGCAGTCAGTGGTGTGGCTTTCCCAAGCACAGCATTTCTGGCAAGTGGGTTCTACCAGGGGCACCTCAGCTGGGTGTGGACAGGACTCAGCGTGCCCACTGGACTGAGCATGATCTTTGACCCAGTGCCCACTGGATCCCTTATGGGTCCCCACACTGGTGAGCAGGCCCTGGCTGACTGGTCAGCAGGGCATGGCTCAGGTCCAGGGCAGCAAGTGGAAGGAGGCAGGAGAGGGCTTGCATAGTAATGGGGTGCTGGGCGGATCACCTGGCAGGGCTTCACCAGGAAGATGCTCTCTCTCCCTCTGTGAGGGCACCCTGGGGTTTGCAGAGGTGGGAGCCAGAGTGCCCGGCATGCAAGGGCCGGCACAAGGTTATCATTGGGGACTATAGCTGGTGGCACCTGCCTGCCCGGGGCAGGGTGATCAGGGCTAGAGGCCACCTACCTGAGCCAGGGGGGGCACAGCGAACTCCATGAGACCCAGTCCATTGCAAGAGTACATCTCTAGGGCAACCAGCACCTTTGTCACTGCACTGGTGTGCTCGTCTGCGCTCTGGGGGGAGGGGCACCGAGGAGCTGACGGGGCACCCAGCGAACACCCGTGCTCTGGGGGCACAGAGCATTGAGTCCAGGTACCCCTGAAGAAACCCCCATAGATGCTCAACCCCCCACCCTGTCCTCTCCTGCTTCCCTCTCCCTGGAACCGCAGGCAGGCCCAGCATGTCACAAACAACCTGGAATTAAGGAGCTTTGG